GAGGCTTCAGACCACTGTTGCTGGCCTGCGATCCATCTCTGCTTCCAGCTTCACCATCTGCTGCATCTCCCTTGCCTGCAATCCAAAATAACCATGTGAAGCACTGCATTAGACCTTGTGTTCAAAGTGGAGCACTTTTTAAAATATATATGATAGTGTCCAAGTGAAATATAGGCAAAGTAATCACATTATGCTTAACCCCCCAAATGCTCTTGTGTTTTCAAACTCAGATGTAGTTCTTAATGTTTACAAAATCTTAGAAAATATTTTAAGTCCTATTCCGAGATTCAACTTTCTGAAGAAGCATAGAATAAAACATAAAAGCTTAATTTTTTTGTGAAAAAACTACGCAGATACTGACTCAACTACTGGTTATTCATTTTGTAAGGTAAATGTGGCTTTGTGCATAGGTGATAAAAGTGCCTTCTTGATAAATCTAGTCCTGTACTTTCATAATCATCGCCACCATCATCATAATCTTAGGGAAGAAAAGTAATTATGATAATAGCAAAGCAACTGTCATAAATATGATTAAAAATTAATCAACACTCTCCATTTAAATGAGTTAAAAGCTTGAAAGTAATGAAGAAATAATTTTAACATGAAAATATGGAAACATAATAAATAAATCAATATGTACAACCTCTGCTGAAATGTTGGCTGGATTTTGCCTGTGTGTGAAATGAAATTCCAGATAAAACAAACCCCCTTTGTTTGCTCCTTAGTGACTCACACATTCTACGTTTTAGGCTTGTGACTTGAACACCGGCACAGAGCGTCCTATAAATATTCTGCAAGCTAGCATATAGCGCATGGAAATACTTTAATGTTAGCTTGGGTTCAAATAACACATTAGCATAGGATCAGGAGGCCCATTTTTGCTAGTTTAGGGTCAGACAGCGCATGAGCTGACGTGAGCACAGCAGAGGACTTGAAGGTGAGCCTCGTGGAGGTGGTGGTGAAGCTGCAGTGAATTCATGAAGGTAGTGACAACTTAGGGACTCTGCTCCCAAGATGCTTCCTCTTGGGCAAGATCTAAGGCAGGCCAAGAACTACATGCATTAATAAAAGTGTTTTTTTCTAGCCTAATGAATGCTTCCCCCCCCCCCATTATAGATCTATAAATAAGTGTCTTTAAAGTAGGTGCAGTCAGACTCAGTGGTGCAAGTATGTTATCAATTCAAGAAAACACATTTGGATCAGGCAATACTGTGCAACTGGATGTTCAAGCTTAATATAATTATCACCCTTCATAAGACAAGGGGTTAGTAGAAACTTTTTATGAGTGATGACTATTAGGAAGATATAACAGCACAGCCACACAGTAAGTATAATTACTACACTTGTAATATGTCTGTAAACTGAATTTTAAAGTGCTGAAAGTCTCTCTTGGTTAGACTCTAAGAAGCTATTTCTAGCTATCCGTTCTAGATTTTGCTATTTTTAGTATGGCATTACTTATTACCATACTAATATATGTGGAAACGTTTTGTCTGTCTATCAGCATTAGCAGTTAATCATATGTATGTTAACACTAAAATGGTTTCCTTAGATCAACAGACACTTCTCACAGACAGAGTTTTGAATTCTAAGCAAAGCTTCTTGCAATGATGGGTAATGTACAATACAAGTTAATCTCCAAATATTTCCTATCCACATTACTGTCCATATGCATCTGGATGTGAGATGCTAAAGCATAAAATACTGTTAATATAATGTCAGACTCAAATATTTGTGTGCAAACATGATTAACGTTGTGTTCACTATGTCAATGGTACTTCCCAATGGTTGCATTTACAAGGAGAGCTCCAATGATAATGATTTAATTTAGAAGTAAAGCACACCAAAATAATAGCTTGCTTATTATACATCCATCCTACCTTGTGTTTGAGACACTGCATGACAGGATTTCAAAAGCTGTTTATACAAAAATAATAATGTCAAAATTGAGTAATACAACAAGAAGCAAATAAAATGAATGAAAACTGAAGTGCGATTGAAAAATTAATGCAAGAAAAATTATACATAAAACAAAGCAAATCTAAATTCATAACAGTTTGCATTGAAGGCTGTTTCCATCCACAACTCTACTTTTCTACATTGCATATTTGTATATATTATTTTTCACTCTTTTGATCAAGAGAAAACCCTATGACTTAAAAAGTTCATCAAATAGTACCACCTTTGTCTTGATCCATGAGCTATAATACATCAATGTATAAAGCAACAAAACCAGAGCCAGTTCATTAGCTTGGGTGCAGTATCTTGCTAACAGGTCTAGGCTGCTTCCAGTACATGAACTAGGATCTGCTCAGTGTTACCTGCACCACTGATCTTCGAAGACTTTTCAGAAGTAAGCCAGCACCCTCTGTGCTCAAACTGCAGCTAAAAATTTGCCTGGCTGCACTTTCCTGGCTGAAAGCAAGTGCTCAATACAGCAGGTGTGGAAATACATGCTTTGTATTGACCAAATTTGAGTGGGTTAAAAACATAACAACTACTCCTGCGGTGGAGGCCACCACTTCCTTAGGCAAAAATGATAACATGCCTGTAGATGGATCTTACTGCATTTAACCACTGGTCATTTAAGCAGTCCTCTTCTCTGCACTGAGATGGACTATGAGCAAAGTCCTGTGGCCACTTATCAGCTCTTATCAGCACTTATCAGTGGTGGAGACCATAACCTTGGGTGAGGGAAGTAACCAACTGCTCCAAGAGGTGACTCCTTTAGTGACTCACTTTTGTCACAGCAGCCTGTCTCCCTAGACATAATGTGATTGTTGCATTGTGGTCAAAAGCACAGCCCTTATATTATTCCCTCTTTTCCTTATGCTTTTTAACACTGGATCCAAAGCTCTCTGAAAAGCAATAGCAAGACACCATTGACACCACTTAGCTTTGGATCATACCCATCATCTATTTCAACCAGCGTGCTTTGCAAGGAGTTGGCAGTCACAGTGCAGAGATCCCACAGATCCACTGAAGCCTAACTGCCTTCCCTGGGTACCCCCCTCTGCCTTCTGAGTGCACGTGGCTACTGCTCAGGAGCAGACTGTCTGAGACCCATCTGCATTAGACCTCAGAGACAGTGTCTACAGAAACCATATGGAGCAGCAGGCTAAGAAATTCTGTTTGCCATCCAAAAGGCAGGTGGAGCAGTCAAAAGGGAGAGCCATGGTGGGTCTGGCTCAGCGGCAGCAGCTGCTTGTGATCCTACATGCTATCCCCCTAGAAGTCAATTAGGCTGCATCTCATGGGGCTGTAGGATTCTCCTCTGACACCATCGATATTTGATCTGTAAATACTCTTCCCTTCTGCAGGATGCCTTTAATTCATAGTCTAATGCCTGCCAAACTGTTCAGGTTCTCAAAATTTAATAAGAAAGTAGTGCATAACCTTCGAAGGTGATGGGTGTTAACCACAAGCTCTCTCTCACTCTCTCTCGTGTCACTCTACTGATATAACTATATTCCCCTTGCACATTTGTGCAAGTGCAATACTGCAAGTCAGGGTGATTATCACAGCTCTCTGGCTTACCCTTTCAGCAAGGGAACTGCTTAGAACGTGGACTTGCTCCTACCAGAAATAAGATTAGAACTTTCCTTCCTAAGTAGCTTTTCAATTAAGAAGAGAATTCTTATAAACCAGCAGACAATAATAATGTATTTTAATTAGGAGAGGGTGTACTAGTACAGATAAAACTCCCTGTGCTACTACATTTCTTCAGAGTTCAGTCCGAACTAAATGTCTCTTGGTGTTCAGAAATACTCTGTGCACATTCTTCGTTGCTATTTTCCAATCAGCACTAGAAATAAAAGTTAGAAACAAAGAAAGCAGACTTTCTTGAGGTACTTTCTGGGAGTAATTAAAAGGAGATATGTAAGCCTGTTTTTAGGACTGTTGTGTCTAGCTACCCAGTAACAATGTGGTAAAAGAGCTGAAAGGATAGACTCTGATTAGTCAAGCAGTCAAGCTTTCACATGCTTATTCGAATATAATCTGGATTTCATAGCATTATTTTAGTCACTTCACCTCTTCATTTTAACTCCCCAAACAAACTAGTGCTTACAAACAAGGTCATTTTCCCAAGTTCAGTAAAATGACTTAAATCTAAAAGCATTCTGCTCACCAGGTTATGATTACTGTTTTATTAACTGCTTTTACTTTAAGCCTTTTAAATAAAATACCTGCTCATTCTGCTTTTCCAAGACTTCTAAATGCTCAAGCTGAACTTTTTTCAACTGATCCATTTCCTTTGACTGCTTCATTGCTAGCTGTAATGAAGAGAAAATAATGACAGACAGTGAAATGTAACACATTATTAACTATCAAAATAAATAATTAATTGTAGTGTATACATAGGCTGGCTTGCCTCCTTCAGACTGTATAAAAAATGGGAGGAGGTCTGTTATATTACACAATCTTTCTATACTAATATATTAATATATAAGTAACATATTAATATACATTATATATTATTATATATTATTAATGTATCAATAATATTACTACATATTTTTATATATATAAATATCTCTTCTTAATATATTTTATATAAAAGTAGCAAATAAATAAAACGTAACAGTAAACTATCAATTCAAAACTGTTTCCTCTCATGTATATTTTAGATCTTTTAAATTACAAATATGTGGAACAAAGCAAGGACAAACTTTTGTTTGTCTGCTAAGGCTGAATTCTCAGCACAGAGGAGTGAAAATGAAAATCCAGAAATAGTGCCCAGTGACTTTGACAAGGTTATAGTTACCCTTTTTCTCTCTTCCAGGAACTTTTTTGTGTTGCTGCTGTTCAGTTCTCTGACTCGCCTGAAAAAAGAACAAAAAATCCAAGCAATTAAAACACTCCAAAACACTGTCCATGAAAACTTTTTTTTTTTTAATATCAGCAATAAAAAGAATGACGAACTCATGGAGTATATTTTGATTTCTGATTAGTCCCAAGTAATGGCAAATTGTACACTCTTGTGGCTTGGGCCTTTACACTTCATTTCCAATCAATTTGGACACTATGAAGGCTTTAAAAGACACCAACATTTTAAGTGAAGTTTGATTTGTCCATTACTTAAAAGTGGTAGTTGCAACTTAAAAAAATGTTTAATTCCCTTCTGTTGCGCTCCAGATTTATTTTGGTAAATAAAAAATGCTTCATCTCATAACAATGGTCATGGAAAAATCATCTGCTGTTCATAAGTAAGATCACCAAAAATATATGATTTTTAAAGTCATTATTTAAACAAAAACATATAAAAATAATTAAAATTTACATCAGACATAATTGCCAATTTTCTCTCATTAAGAATTCTGACACGAAAAACACCAAAAATAGTTCAAAGAGTTGAATCTACCTAATCACAAAGCCTAGAAAGCAGAATTGCCTTCAAGGCTGCTTTCAAATAGAGGAACAGATCTCAGTGTCATCAGTGGGGGTCTTACATAAACTAAGCCTATTACGTTCCCAAGGCCTCTGACAACTCTCATCTTCCTCATATGCTAGGGTTGGTAACAGGCAAGGGAGTTAACTCCGTAGCAACACGTTCAAGCCTTTGGACCAGAACAGCCCAGCGCAGAGGAGGAAGAGCAAGAAGAAAGGGGAAACCAAATGGCAAGCCCAAAGTCAAAGGGAAACCCTGAAGGCTCAAGAGACATCACTGTGTGGATTCTGTTCCTACCTATTTATTTGGAAACTGTTAGAATAAATGGAAGAAATTTAAATAGTTCAAATGCATATCCAATCCTCCAAAAAACCTGAGTATCTGGTGCCGAAAAGTGTCTCTCTAGTCTCTCAAGTCACTCAAGGATAACTTCCTCAAATGTGCAGTGAATGTCCCACTTTTACAAACACAGGGGTGCCCGCTGTTTGCAGGCCTGGGATGTCAGCCAGGTTTCCAATGCCAGTCGTAGCTCAGTTGAGGAGCAGATAATGTTGAGCACTTCTGCTGCTTTTTCTATCTCTTTCATCACTTTCTCTGCTTATCATCATCACTTTTAGCACCCCTTTTTTTTTTCTGCTTCATCTCTCCTCCCTGTTATTAGTAGATGAAAAAGAACATCTTTCCTTGGCACCACCTCCAGTGTTTTTAATGGTGCTAGGTGTCTAGTTCCTCTAACTCCAGCTACAAACAAACATCAGACAACAGAGGTTTTCACTAAAAAAGTAACAGTAAAAGGGTACAAAAGCCATCCGTTGAAGAGGCAGAAAAAGAAATCTCCAAATAAAACTAATATCCCTATCATTAATTCTTACAGATGTACTTCTATTTAGTCGTGTGAGTATCCTACACCACTCAGTGTCATAGCTGGCAAGAATAATGTTAAGCCCCCTTTTATTTCCCTGATTAAGGTTATTACAATCCTTAAAGGGACAAAAATGAGAAAAGTAACTTTTTTTTTTTTGGAAAATGTTCATCTAAAATATATTCAGCATAAGCACTGCACAGAAATGTAAGAGGTTTCCACACACAAGATCGTGGCTTTAGTAGATTTAATCAGTGCATTTGTCAATCAGCTTGTGAGATGCAGTCTCATGAAGGGAGAAGAGATACTTACCTCTCTCTTTCAGCTTTGTTTTTGATAGATTTATCCTGGCTTATGGCTTTGCTGTTTTCCATAGATATTTTAGCCTGGTTGGCACGCATTTCCTTGCTTTCCCTATATATATAAAAAAAATAAATTAACATTTAAGATTCGTTCATTGCTGCTGTTCATTTACACTTCTACACTATAGCTTATATTTGTCCTTGAAACACTAAGAAGAAAGAATGAACAATATGAAGATCGCCTTCCTTTGGTAGACTATTTGCCATTTGAGCAAGCATTCAGAATCTCAGTATGTTCTACAGAATATAATTTGAAAGAACAGTTTTAAGCATTTCAAACCTTGTATAAAACAGGCTATAAAATTCTCTTTTCTCTCTAGTATGCAAGATTTGGCTGAATATGAGCTATTATCAAGCCATTTAGAAAATGCACCTTGCCTTTTAAAACTGCTTAATAAATTTACAAAACCTGTACTCAGAGCATGACTGCAGTATGAATAATAATAATAATAAAACTTGCTAGTTGTGGCATGAGTGGACAGCTTTCCTAGTAAGACTTCTACTTTCGGAACTGTAAAGAGCCCTAAGTTTTAGACCATGGTCGGACTCGTCCCTGCTTTCTCATTCTGACCTAGGGAACCTTGTGCTCTTTTCTGCAAGGTCAGATACCAAAGCATGGAAACTGCCTTCCATGGGCAACGACTGACTAGCATGGTTTGACTCAGGAGGCAGAAAATCTCTCGCGTGTTTCAACCGGCACAGCACCGAAATAGAAAACAGGTAAACAAGCATCCCCTGGTTTTGCAAAGAGACCCTGATTTGCTGTTGGGAGCATCAGCACAGACGTGGACCTTCAGAGACAGCCTATGAATCATGAGTAGAAGCCTTGCCTTGACCATGGCTCTTTCTTGCTTTCTGCCTGCTTAGTTCTTGTAGCTCCTCATCCTAACTGCTCATTTAATTGGAATTATGTATGGAAAGGAGAAGCAAATAACTGTCTCTGAAGTCCTCAGAACATGGTAACCATAGAGAAGTTTCCCATCATGAGACAAAACAGTGCCTGAGTCTCCTTGTCTGGATCCAATCCTAAGAACAGTGCTAAAATATTGTACCTATTAACTCAAAATTCAAACATTCTGTATCACAGAAGATGAGGGGTATGGCACAGCGCAAAGTGCTTAATTTAATGAAGTGTTATTTATTTTTTATTTTTTTCTTTAATCTCTAAAAGGCATTAACCATTAAGTAGTATGAGGAAATTTTGTGCCATTTTCCATATTTTAAAATTATTATTAAAGAAACACAGCTTTTTTTTTTTTTTCCTCCCCATCGAGGCTTCACAAGCTTTCCCAAATAGGAATTTGAATGCAGTGGTACTACAGCAAAAATGAGATGGAATTCTGAATGACATTCTAGCAAGAGCACATTTTATGCTAACCGTCTCTTCTCCAAATAAAAGCTTTTATTTGCTATACTGAGTTTGAAGTAATTTTCAAGTAATTTTTCTCTGAAAAGCACCACTGGAATATATATATATTATTTATACAAAAAACTGTGCTAGAAGGTATGAAAAAGTTAAATGTCAGTGTTTTAAGTGATTTAATCTATTTGTAATAGACATAATTTTAGAGTGAAAGGAGTTAGGGGGAGTTAAAAGGAGTAGTCCATTGTGTATCAGACTTTGAATGACTATAAAACGAGGCTTGGATATGTCTGTGGTGGGATCACCTATCGACATGTACTTATTTCTCCATCCTGACAGCTGTACTCAAGCTCTGCATCTCACTGCTGAGCAATCCTTTCTTGGTACAGTCATTTCTCACTTTTGAAGAAATGACAGACAATTTTCACAGAAGAAATGAAAAACTCTATCTATCTTCTAAAATCATCAAGAAGCATTTGCAGGAATCACTCTTTGTTTTTAAAGGAGCATTTTTGAAAGCTTGGGACAAACTTCCCATACCAGTTTGCTGCCGAACTGCCTGACGTGGGATTTCACATTGACTCTGACTCCCTGCTGCCCTGTCTGCAGCAAACTGGCAGATTTAACTGCTGATTTCCCACTGTGTAATACTGACCACCACTCTGAGCTCTGTACAAACATGCCTTTTAAAGGAATACTTAACATTAAGCATGTATATCTATCCTGGGAGTTCATGTTTATGCTTAGATGATATTAAAATATATTAACGTTATTTTAGGTCATCAGGAATGTTTGGATCACTCTCTTGAAATCACTGTTTGTATTTAGCAACTGCTACTTTTCTTTATCATTTATGTTATTTAATCTGGAACACATCATGGTTACAGGTAACACTCTTGTGCCCCCAATTTCTGAGAGGGTGCAAGTTTGAATCAGTAAGGTCAATTCAGTCGGCAGGGGGAAAACAGCCCCAGGTTTCAATAATAAGTTTTTCATTGTGACTAGTGTCTACTGCCTTCTGCTTCCTTTTGCAACAAGCCCAAACCAGATACTGCAATTGCCTTTCTCTCCGCATGGAGGGAATCTACTGTCTCTGCAGCAATAACATCAGCAGTTCAGATTACTGATCTTCCTGCTGCCCCTTCGGCCTCTGCTCCGAGCGCTGCCCCTTACCCAGCTCAGCGGCCAGCAGTGGCCACAAGCTGCACCGCTCTCAGGTTCTTGTTCCCCTCCTTTCCTGAGGTGTCTCTTGGCTATTACATGCACTTATATAGATAAATGCACATAAACACACATGCACTCCTACACACAAGAGTAACAACATCTGTTTGAGGCATTATTATTCGCATTTCAGCATTTTACACTGAAGAATCTCCTGAATTAGCCAGCCATAGTTTTAAGCAAGACAGTCTCACTGAGCAGCTGAAGACATTATGATCTGGATCTAGAGTACCAAGGACTGAACCTTCCTCCAGCTACCTTTTGAACAATGTGTTTGCATTATAACTGTACTGCAGGACAACTTGAATGCATGGGTTAATACAGAGATTAACATAAAGATGAGCTCACTAAAGTCTTTTTTGCTGGGACAGTTCTCTGCTGGATGGAAAGCTTGAAGATCCCAGAATCTATTTTCTCATACAGAGATAAGCTGTTATTTCACTTATGTGCCTTTGGACTGCTTCACATAATAGATTACAGCATAAGATAATGATTCCACTATTTACTAACAGTTCTAACATTGTGGTTAGTAGGTATGTTTTGATTTCATTTAGTTTGAAATGAACAGTGTAGTTTATAATACAAAAGCAACAGCAAGGTATAGGCATATAGCATCTCCTGTGTTCCCAGTGCTGACAGAACTATATACAATTCTCAAGTAGCTCACACCTCAACCATCATTTTTTTGTGAACTTACTGCCACGTTTAGTACTTCCAGTTCCCAACACTTGGAATTCAAGTTCCTGGGTAAAATCTAAGCACATCCACAGTTGATGCAAATCGTTGCAGCAGCCACTGCCTGCTGACAATCTAAGCCAGCTATGATGCCTATTCCTGCATCTCTCTGTCCCACATTTGGTCATTTATTTCAGTTCTACCTTGCATGCAGCTCAGTATCTTTGCCAGTGCAAGAGCTAAAAAGACAAGGAAACCACAGTATGTTATACAGACATAAGCCAAACCATCATTACTAGTATCACTGCTCACCTGTCATGGGAAAACTTTAGCTGCTGGGTTTGTTGCTCATGTGCGTTAATCAGCAGCTTTTTCAGTAGTTCACACTGTTGGTTCAAGTGCAAATCCCGGATTTCTTGCTCTTCGGCGCTGTGTGTATTGATCATCTCCGACCACTCCTTGGTGTGCTGCGCCACGATCTCTTTGACCTGCAGAGAAGTAACACCAGTTTCACCAGGAGTTCTCAGGTTGGCTGTTAAGATCCATTATGCCAAAGACAATGCGAAGGCAATCATAAGAAAAAATAAAAGTTATACATAATGCAGATAAAGTGCAAAATGAAGATACACAAATGAAATTGCTTCACAGAGTAATAGATGTAAACCAACTCTCCTACAATTATTATCCAAAGTAACAAGACTAAATTGACTACATATATGCTCCTGGCTGTACTAACATTATTTTAAAACCGTCTCTGAGTTCACTATGCATTATTTTCCCAAAAACAAAAAAACTAGCAATGGAAAAGATCTAGTGAGTGGGATTTCTCTGAGGACTTAAATACAGTCTTAGATTTTGTGGAGACAATTTTACAAACAGTCAATTTACAGAGAAATCCAGTATCTAATGCAAGCTGAATCTGAAGATAGGCCACATATCTTTGTTTTATATTCATTAAGTCAGCAGGGGATCTGACAAATATTCTCCTCTTGCTTATCTCCCAGGACTCACAAGAATAATGAGATTAAATTTTTGGAAAGTTCCCAAGCGACAATGCAAAGAAATCTAAATTACTTGAGTTATTATTATAATAATATATTGCACCTAATGATTTAGAAAAGAAGCCAATAGAAAGATATATTTTATTATCCTTTAATAACTATCTTCGGGCATTTTGACAAGCTACCCTGCTTTTCCATAAATGGTATACAAAACGCATCTCTCAAAAAAAATAAACCTATTTTCAGGTAGTCATTTCAAGTGCTACTATGGTAACCAATAGCATTTGGGCCATCTTCTGTGAAAGCTAAACCTAAATGCTTCAAATGCAAACTGCCACCGCACTGCTCAGAAAGGGAGCGCCTGATGCCCGTATTCCAGGTGCGGGCCCATAGGTGCTCTGCACCGTGCGGAGCTCTGCGCAGCGCCGTGTGTGTCTCCTTGGCACGGCCAAGGAAGGGTTTGAGAAGCAACAGCCCCCCGGTGCCCTGGGGAGGCTCCTCTGCAGGTTCCCCCCCGCAGAGGGCATGGTGCATAACACAGCCGGATTCCTGATGGGTGCAACTTGCTCAATGATCAGGGTGACTGCTGCTACCCGAAAGCTGGACTGGCATTTAATTATAACTAAATAAATGCCCCGTATCAAAATAGCTGTGGTCTTCAGCAGAAGCAGTTGGTGGAGAACCACCACGGATTTCCATGGCTGTCATTTTGAGGGGGGGAGCTTGGTAAGACTAATATAGCCCTAATTCATTAAGGTCCTGGAAGGGTACCTCCAGCAAAATGAGTCATGCTTAGCATGATCATGTTTAGCAGAGCTGAAACTAGGCCATTGCTGCCATCTTTGGGAAGACTTCCATACATCCTTACACAGGAGCCAACACATGTTTCCTTACATGTATTTGTGACTCAAATTGTCGTCCTGCAGAGTGCTCTGACTGCTTGCTCTTGTGTCACTCTTCCATACAGCCTGTCACTCGAGCTGGGTGGCTGACTTCAGATTGATTTCAAATGTTAGGGAATATCAACTTTAGGGACCTGATCCTTATTCGCAGTGGGACCACTTTACACTGCCCTAAGCACAGAGGGGCATTTCAGTAAGTAAAACCCAGAGTTTGCTTCCAATGGAAGTCTCCTTACACTGTTGATGAAAGGCTCAACAACCTTAGTGTATATAAGAACCTTGCCTTGCTCTCCTGGTTAGGAAAATGGTGAAACAAATTAATGTATAAACAGTGGAAGCCATGGTGAAAGCAATGTGACTTAGTTGAGAAGAGCTTCTACAAAACCCAAATAAATAGAAGTGAAGAATTAAGGGCATTTTGCAAAAGAATAATGAAATCATTGCTTTTTGAATGTTGACACATACACTACAGAGCAACACAAAAGCAGAATTCCTATAACTCGCATACACTCATAGCAAAGACCTGTAAGCAGACTTAAGCATGGTGGTTCTTTAAGTATTAGATTTGTGAAGATAGGAAAGAAATATCATAACAAATATGTATACTCATAGATAGATACACTGCTGATATGCTAGTATATTCCAAAATCAGCATGCAGTCCAAGAAGCAGGCATAGATCCTTTTAAAACAAGTTTTCTCTGAGAGTGGGAGAGAATATCCAATAAGCACCAAGTTTCTTTTCAGGTAGAGTAAGTTATACTCTGGATGAGAAGGATATAAAGTATTTGCCAAACAACAGTTAAAAAATTTGAAATACCCCATCTGACTCAGATTCAGAAGACCTTAGACCTCAAGACCATTAAATAACCTGAAATCCAATCTTGCTGCAGCTCTGTGATACTCCAAAGTTCAATAGTAGTAAATTGAATGTATGCCCTTTCAATTTATTAGCATTACAGTTAAAATGACTACTTCTGTTGCACTGGGCTATGCTCTTGTACTTCTTTCCACTGTTAAGGTAGTGTTCTTTTTATCCAGAAGAATCAGAAAAATAAGTGCTAGCTAAGGCTGTCTTTCCTATTCTACAGACTGTGTTTGCAGTCCTGTCCTTTCATCTGTTCCAGCAGGCCTCAGAGACTAATTAAAAGCTTCCACCTGTGCAGCATATATGCAATATGTTTGTTTAGTCACTGTGTTTATGTAGGAATAATCTTTGAAGCAATCTTTCCTTTTTTCTTTTCATCCTCTTCTTGCTTGATGCTGGGACATCTAATGTAGGAGAATAATTTGTGTCTCTTAGCTTAACTGTGCATGATGTACATATGGGGACAATCAAATCCATCTTAGATATTTTATATCAAACTTGGGCTGGAAGAATCTTCATGAGAGGAAGACTTCAGCAGGTGAAAAGGTGTGTTCAGAGCTAGAAGTATAAATGCACGTTGTGACACAGAGCTGCACTGAAGGACATGTGCTGTAATTAAAAGTGAATTATGATACCACCTGATATTAAAATCAGTGGACCAAATACCGAGAAATGCTGAACAACTGTTAATTAATCAAACTCCTGCTAACTCAGTGTGATGCATTCAGCATCTCAGAATTTCATCTGATTTAATGGCACCTACCTTCATCTAGGATAGAAGTTAATTTCCCTACGGTCTGGAGCACTGGTTTTCAACCTGTTGCTTGCAGACCTCTAAATGATCTTTGGGACTAAGTCAAAAGGCCCCCACACAGCAAGTGAACAACAGAAATCTGTGAGAATACTAAAATGGTATGTAATGTGGAAAATTTTGATGGACCCTCAGAGAATCAGAAATTGAAAATCACTGACCTAGAGAAAATCACAGAGGCAGATGACTAGCAAAGAAGTATCCAGCACACAGAGGCTTGGAATTTGAAAGGATTTTATGCTTTAGTCTTCATTGCAAATGTCATCCTGAAGTCTGACATGGGAGTGGACAAAAATCAATCTTTTTTTTTCCAGACACAGATTACGCTTTAAGGAAAATAGTTTGAAAGGGGGGATTTAAGAAGAACACAGCTCAGAAACTGCATACATTTGTGGAGAGGGAAAATATTTATTGGATTTGGAAGACTTGCATGTTATTTGTGTATAAATCACACATCTTAACTCTGGACTGTCAATGACACAGGTGAGAAGCTGAGAGCACAATGAACAATTTTCTACACAATATAATTTAAAATGAGTTTTGGAGCTTATGTCTGAAGGATTGCCACTAGTGCTCCCTAAAGTTTATTTTTACCAGGAAATGGATTATTTTTTTAAAGTTGATGATAGAAAGCATGTTTTTCTCCAACTACTCAGAGAAAACAAAGCACCTAATCCTTGAAGAAAAATGCACTAGAAAAGGGGGGGCACTTGCTCAAGAGCAATTTGGACCCCTCCTTCCCTAAGAGAGTCTGGCAAGCACTGAGAATGGTGACAATGATGGAAAATGAAAAAGAAATTTCTTTGCATACATATTTTAGGAGTGTAATTAGCATCTCAATTTCATGTAGCATATTTTTGCTTCTTTATCTTAGCTAAACTGATATAAACGACCAGTTTTGCTTCATGAGGCATGAATATGACAACTCCTTCAATAATTGTTAAAAAGGAAGGAAATTGATGTTGCTTTTCAAATACTTTTTTAAGAAACACTTTTAGATACCCGATTACTCCCATTCTTTTCCACATGTTATTATCGCTAAAATTCATTCATGCGCATCCAAGAAAATTAACTAGCCATTGGGTCTCAAAATCTCTCTTTCAGATGTTGCATGTGTTAAAATTGGCTTGTTTGCTTACCTTAGATTTGTGATCTGATGTTAGTGTCTGAATTTTAATTTCAGTTTCTTTCTTCAATTCAAGACAATTACTTCCTCTAAAAAAAGCAAAATTGCAAATATGTGCCACAAGTTAAACATCTTCCCATCCAGTCAGCTCTTACTAATTAAAATGTGAATCAAAGTTGAAGTGCTGCAGCCTATTGGAATGAAATTATTTCTTCTAGCAATTTATTCACAACTTGCAAAATATTGTTGGATTAACGATCACTCAATTCAAACACCACACAATTAATTCTAGATTGGCCCTGCAATTATTCTGTTGCTGAGAATATGTCAGCATCTCCATTTATGGTACTAGGTCCTTCCTTTCAGGCTTAAAACACCTTGCCAAGAGAAAACAGCTTCAGCCTGAAAACTTACAGGCATATTCATGCTATGCTATGATTTTATTTCTGTTTTAAAAGTTGTATTTTTCTACTTTTTAAATTTGAGGCACAGAAAAAGAAGTCATTTGACTTCCCAAGGGGGTTTAGGCATGCTGGATATGGATGTTTATCAAAAATGTAAGCGCCCCTTTGTAGATGAGCAAAACCGAAGGCGCTGTAAAGTAGGGTACTTATTCCCCTTGCAGACAGCTCCGAATCCATTTGGTGTTTCATCTGCCTTGAACAGCAGCAAATCCCCAGGACAGCCCTCACTCCAGCAAGCGGCTGAACACAGCGTGGCCTTGTGCCTGGCTACCTTAACGGGGTTAAATGCAGGGTGCAAAGACCCCAGTGCGGGAGGAAGGCCACATTCCCAGGTAACAAGCTGGTAAAATGGCTGCGGGAGTGTTTATGCTGCAGCTCTCCTGACATGCCAGTGGGCCAGGAGATGGATGACTTCCACCCTTCCCAACAGAATTTCCTTTGCTAAACCCAATTACTGGGGCTGTGCACTGGGTGGGATGCATTCACAGCAAAACAATTCCTTTGCAGCAGCAAGAGGAATTCCAATTACTGCCTCACTGAAGTCAATAAATCCTCACAGATGGGGCTGACAAAGCACTATCCTTCAACAATCTTCTCATTCCCTTTTTTGCAGTGAAGGATTTTTAGAACAAAACACAACTTTATACAGTGGAAGAAGTCTTAGGCCTTTGGTTTGGAATAATACAATATATTTAGTGGAACCTATTTTAACAATTTAGTAACAATTCAGATACCAGATCAGTTCAGATGTGAGACTGTTCACTGACGTAAACCGGTATAACTCTACTGAGTGAAGCTACACTCATTTCAACACCTCATGCTGGCCCTAATAAGAACGCTATTGCTTGACTGCAGTAACATTAATCCGTTAGCTCTAGAAAAGGAGATTTATGAAACTATAACATGTTGACTAAATCCTATTTTAATATCAAAGTACTACTAAACTGAGGGAAATTAGTAGAAAGCTTTATCATCAAATATTTCCAGGAAAGTCCTTGCTGAAAATAGTAGTGTGATTTGCCTTGTGTTCCCATGGGCCACCATGAGGATTAATGATTCATTTTCTGGTCATAGCAAGAAAATTCCTGTAGAGATTTTTAATATTCTTTTGACACTTTGAAAGTAACATAAAGCCACAGAGACAGGCTCTGACCACAGTTACATCTGCCTGAAAAAATAGTTGCAAAGAAACTGTCTGTTTTGCATGCATATACCTGAGATCAGAGCTTGGCTATGATTTATATGACATATTTTACTTAGATATATTTTACTCCAGACTGGTCCAATTAAAAATCTCACCAATCTTTCCCAAATCCCAGTGATCAGAACACCCAGGAGATCCCTTCTTTGGCAATGCAGCTCTTCTTATGTCAGAAGAAAACGCCAAGGCAGGCTTCCCCTAACTAGGATTGCCCATGACTGCACTGACATAGTTCTCTCCAGCTTAAACTGCCAAGCTGCAGCTGAGAATAAATGCCTACAAATAGCCCAAACGATGTCACATGCCCACATTCATAGGCACAAACATACAGAGACTTTAATTCCTGCACAGCCCTGATCAATCAGAGGTGCCTCTGATGGTCCCTCAGCCCCGTTTGAGGGTGGGAGCACGAGTGTGCCCATGCCCATAGGCCTCTCACAGATTTATGGGCATGTGCAGCATTTGAAGTGTACTACAGAAACAGCGTCGGGACCAAAATCCTGCCCATCTGGTAGCAAATTAGTACATGATTAAAAATTTTGCTTTGCAGAACATTACGCATGCGACATTTGTCACACCATGTGGCAGAAACATACCACAGAAAGCTGCATGACAGTATCAGAAAAGACTCCCTCATACACTTGTCAGAACGACCTTTTTTAGGAAGTACCTGGTAGATCCAATACAAATGTCTTAAAGACATATTTTGCATTCGCTTTTACAGCTTTTATTGCTTGCAAAGGCTCTAAAAGGATATCCAAGGAAATGGAACTTGTTCTGTATTCACTGAACGCTGCGTCCCTCATTTAGTAGTGCATTTCTGCTCAGCAGAGTGTTAAGTCTCAGCCAACATGTTCACATTTACCCATGTCCTTAAATACCCTCCACTACAGTGCAGCACCACCAGTGAAGCAAGTGCCTAAGCACCTTGCTGAGCGGTGTCAGAGAAGCACACAGTGAACTCTGAAAGAAATCTTTAAAATATTTTGGTAAGCAATTAAAAAGTGTTGATACAGAAAGGCTGTGTTGATTGCCTAATTGGTTAATTAGACACCAACAGTTATCTTTGCTCATCAGAAGACTGACTGCTTTGGAGTTCATGGAAAGTGTGGAATTAGACTGAGGAACAAGCTGATGGCTGCGTATTCTATCTACCTCTAGAGCAACAATTTGAAACTTTTATTTTATTTTTTTCTGATAATTTGAAATTCTCATAGAGTCTTTGGAGTTCATGTGAAAAAATGATTTAAAAAATTAAGGGAAGATATTATTACAAGCATCAAACAAAATAAGGCAAAACTGGGAATCAGACAGACGATCTTTCTACTGGTTCCACTCTGCGGTTATTCTGGAGAGCACTGGCACAAAGGGCTCCCCACTTCTTGCCACAGAGGGATAGCCGTTCCCACCTTTACCTCTCGGACATACCTTCATCTGCTGCTTTGCCAAGGGAAGCAGATGCACCAGCCGCTTCCCAGGCCGGCAGGAGTATTGATTCATGACTCTTCCCGGTAGGAGCAGAGCACTGGGAAGCTTTGTAGCTTTGCTCCCCTCAAGATAATCATGTCCAGGGCTCAGTTTGCTGCCACTATAGCAAATACTCTGGCTTTAATCATAAATCCAGCTCTCCATTGCTATATCAATAGTTCTGTGCTGTGCTATATTCAATGGAAACTGAACCCAAGCCAGAATAAATTAATTTGGCCTATAGCTGATCCTTCTCTGTTTGGAGAGAGAGTCATTTTTTGGAGGAACTGAGTATAGGTATTTAGGTGTTTATGGTTCTCCTTTCTTGGGAGAAGCAAAGCAAAACAAAACAGGTTTTGAAGAGCTGTGTGACCTTTCATAATTTAATTGGGAGAACTCTCCTTACTTTGCTTACTTCACACAGCTCTATTTCTGTTCTATTGCGAGTTTCCAACACACACAACCAATTATTAAAAAACACTAATTCCAAATCATTTATAAAGCAAATAAAATATTTATGAAATAACTCAATATCTAAAAGGCATCTATTTTCAGTTTTCAGTGAGTGAGGGTGCTGCCAGATGCCAGCAATATGCAATTAAGGCTAATGACTAAAACTAAATAAAGCAACCCCTGCTTAGGTCACAGGCTATATTGTATAAACTGCTGTCTCAAGAATATGCCAAAGTGTGAACAGAAGAAAGTGTTGCCAGATTAAATGCTAGCAACAATGCAATGCAGAACATGCTACATAAAGCTATATGGGACTGCAAGGGGGACATGTTATTAAAGACATTGGTATGTTCCTGGAACATTTCTGAGATGATTAAGAAAGACACACAGATAATGACCCAGGTCTTCAGCTAGTGCAAACGCAAGTGTATTGTGAAGGGAAAGGAGTAATAGTGATAATTTATTCCTTCTGTGGATCTGAAGAAGCTCTTGCGTTATAAAGAAACTTTACATTGACAACATGGAAGAACTATGTTATTCTGCAACATTCATGATTTAGAAGCTGTATTTTTCACAAAAGCAATTATTGCTTCCTTCTGGCCATTAGAGCAATGCAGGACCTGCATCTGCTCTCACCAAGCACAGCGGTAACATTCCCTAGGGAATGCAGTGAGACCAGATCAGACCACAGAAATGAAAATTTGAGACAACCCCTTGGGTTTTTGCGTTTCACACATTGAGAGAGTAGAAGACTGCAGAAGTGAGTACAACATTAATGGCCAATTGCTAGAGCATTCAAGCAGCTCAAACTCTGTTTGATATAAGGATGCTGGTTCAAGCTGCAGTTAAGTTTTATCTGAATGACCTTTCTATGAAGGCTCTATTCCAGACCGCAAAAACATAAAATCTATTTTAAGTCTAAAAAAAAAAATTAAAGTAATATCTTACCCCTTCTTCTTGATTGCCTTCTCTAACATTTTCTCGTAAGATACCTTTTCTTTATCATATTGTGCCACTACTTTGTCAATTTGTGTGCAGTGCAACTTCTGCATAGCGCTGTGCTCCTGGAAAACAGTAGGACCTTACAATTAGGTTGCTGGATTTTTAGTTTAGTTTTCTTACAGCGTAAAAATATCGGTGTATGAACAGAAAACTTTGACAATGGAATTTAATCTCATTTAGCCACCTGGTTCCAGCTTTCCACCATAATCACTAAAAGCATTCTCCTTAGTTTGGATTTTCATAAAATTTTTTGTTTGGTCATAAAAACATGTTATGTGGTGACCTTAAAACAAAAAATGATGGGAAAAAATACCAACTGTACTATCTACTCAATCTTCCTTTTGAATAAGTCTCCATTTAAGTGCAAAGTAAAAAAAAAAAATCATATTTACAAATTCAGATCATACCACATAAAGCTTCTGAACCCAGTAGGGAAAAAAAGTCATCCCAACCCCCTTCCTCTACATATCTCAACAAATGCAATGCTAGCCCTTTGGCCACTGCAAATCTAGTAGTTTCAGGTTACTAAAATAGCTAAAAACCAATAAAATTATTAAAAACTGATAGTCTGAATAGGTGGCCCATGACCTCTGATGATGGCTCGAATCTTATCATAAGAAATTCCATCATGTTGCAGAGCACCTCCCTTTGCAAGACCTCCACAATATGACCTGTGGCTGCTGCAAATAACCATTGGCCTTTTTCTTCTTAACTGTAAGCCCTGCAACAGGCTGCCCAGAGAAGTTGTGGAGTCTCCTTCTCTGGAGATCTTCAAAACCTGCTTGGACACAGTCCTGTGCCACGTGACCCTGTGTGTGCAGGGGGGTTGGACTAGATGCTCTCTAAAGGTCTCTTCCAACCTTAAGGATTCTACGATTCTTCTTGGCAGCACAACATGTGCTGACACACTGGGTGTACAGGCCTACCTGTGAGGTATTTCACATCAGTGCAAGCCTGCTCTAATTACTACAGTCACAACACGCTTTACACTGGTGAAGTGCCAGAAGAGGCTATCGATGGAAAGGCAGGAAAGAACTCTCCTCATGGGGAAAAGATGAACACGCAAGTTGGCTCTAACAAACCCATCGCCCCTACCCATTGCAGGACTGCATGAGAATAACACTTCCCATTTAGTGCTTTCATGTAGACTTTACTATAGAACCTGACTTTGTATTCTCTTTGTCAGGAAAGCTACTTATAATATGCAAATATTTAACTACCACTGAGAAGACGAAAAAGTGAATTTACATTATAATAGAAAAAAAAAGAATTAATAAACAACAACCATTTTATTAATATATTATTTCTCATCATTTTATCTAATTGTGACAAAAGCCTCATATTAATTAATATGGCTTCGAACCAGGACTTTATCTCTATTTTGTTTTAGAGCTCATTTTGAATCTGTGCTACACTTTCCATTCTAATGCTCTTTTGTTATTATTTTCTATACATCTGTTTGCCTTATCACTGTTTCTTCCTCTAAAAATACTAATTAGAGACTTCTACATTCACTTTTACCAAAGCAGTAACATAAATGTTGCAATGGCTTTAAAAGCGAGCATTAGGATGTACCCGAGTGTTCCAACACCTGCTAAGCCCTCCTCCAGGGAACACTGCAGCTTCCCAGTTTGGTATTTCGAAGCACAAACTGAGCTTTCTGTTCTGCAGAGGATTTAAAAGGAAACAAAAAGGCTCCACCAACATCAGAAACAGGCCAACTTCACTAGGGAATAACTACCCTGATTAACCATGTAGGTGAAAATACGGGCAGTGGGAAGAATGATGTAAGCTTGACAGCACTGGGAAGCCACAGGTGAGCTGGCTGATGGAATCTAATTGCTCACACTACGTACTTGCCCCCAGATGAACAGAACAACACAGTCCAAAGTCTGAGCCATCTGTATGCCCATGTGGCACTTAGGGATAATCTGAGAGGAAAAAAAGAGTACCTGCTTTTACCTCAGCACAACCATGGCTTAAGACCCATTTCTGGATCACAAGCCTGTTGTAACCTTCTGCAGAGCCTCACCTGTACTGCCACTGCCCACAGACAACTCTTCATATTATAAGTGAAACGTATATACTGTGGTCCCCCACTCCACCTCTGGTCTGCCTCACCATCTTGTTCATTCAACACTTACTTGTTGGAGTACTTGTATGCACAGAACTGAAAAAGGAAGACGTGCTACTGGCAACCAGCGAGTATTAGGTACAAAGAGTCCTCGAGCCAAGACCCAAAGATCATGGGTTCCTTGAGTTATACGACCTCCAAACGCTCATTAAAATGGCTTGGCTGATGTAAGTTTGATTTTATCTCTAAGTTCAAAGGAAAATTCATTACAACTAGCTGTTGCACCCAGAACTTGCCACAATTCTGTGAAATACTGGTGCTTTGATAGCATCTTGAAACACCCTCAGCATAATTTGTTTTCAGGCGCAAACAAGTTGCAGATGTAAAAATGTTCCACATTGACTTAGAATATATTCACAAGTAAAACTCCTCCACTAGATCTCAGGTTCACATTGCCTTAATTCCACTGCATTTAAATTTGAAATTTCAATCCATCTTTATTTTTTACATAGATATATTCAGAAGTGATATGCAGAAATCATCATATTATGAACTGAAGCCATAGTTCATCTGGGGCTGTGGAAGGGCAAAAAAGGATATAAGATTCAAGTCACAGCAAGATTCTCTAGCAGAAAACTATAGTTCCATGAAAAGGAAAAAAATCCCATCATTTATTATTATATTATTAAATATATCATAATAAATATTATTATTATATACTATTAAGGAGAACAGGAAATAAGCCTTTCTGATACAAATTCACTGCAGTGTGAATTATCTAAAATATCACGAACACTCCTGTGCACAACTACCAATCAAAGACTGGAGAATCCTCTTTACATATTGTGAGAATGAGAAAAGTAAGTATAAAAACCTATCAATTCTGAATCAACAATCATTTTTGCAGAATTTAATTCATCTAGAGCCACAGAATGTTTTGCACTGGGGCTTTTACAGTGGGAAAGGATTATTTTTCCAGTTGCTGTTTTTACTAGGCATGAATTCAAACAGCACGCACATCCAGTGTCAATGTAAATGTGCAGGAGACCTCTCTGGGATTCATCTTCTTGAGTGGTAATTATGCGGTTCTGGCTAGCGACTATGGCCATATTAAACTGCTTAAGGGAACACTTGAGAATATCACCTTCTTGTCTGAAACTGCTAGAGCCATGCATCACAAGATCTCATAGGGAATATATCAAGATAATCCCTCATTATCCTGCTGCCTCTTCTGCCTAATCCAAAGGGCACAAAAACTATGCAACATCCTTGCAACAGATTAAAATTCAGTAGTGGTCCTCAGAGGCAGGCTGCTAATACATGAATTCACTGGCAAAGACTCCTGTGTACATGTGCAACCTCCTACTATTGTAATCCATACACCTGTGATACCCCCCAAGCTCATTTACTCATACTACACTCAAGATCTAACCTGATGAAAAAATAAAAGAAAAAACCAGCAGATATCATTCAGAGACATCAGCCCTTGTGCAGTTCCAGGGTGTCACTCATTGCAGGAGATAAAGATTTCTTTGAGGACTGCAGAAAGAAAATGTTTCACAGTATAAATACCGTTATGAATGCACTGCCTAAAGTTAAACACTTCTGCATATTGCTGGCTGGACATACCATTTTAAAATGACCAAAAGTAGAGGTTACCACACCTAAGATTCAAAATTAAGTTGTTCCTAATACTATTTTTTTTATTTTTATGTATATGGTGGCAATTGAACACATTTGCCATGGTTACAAAGTGGCAAGTAAAGCCAAAAAAAAAGCCAAGCAAAATGAATATTGTAGCATATGAGGCTGACCGCTTGCAAGTTAACTACCACTACAGAAGTATTCATTCTTGTTTACTGGCAAAAAAAAAAAAGGGGATTTCAGAAGTGATATAATTTGGTCTACCACAAAATACAAAGAACTGCAAAAATGTGTATCTTTCCCACAACAACGTATACAAGTTATTAAATAATAATCTGGTTTAAAAGAATATAAATGAAGCCTTTTAGGAGTCTTTTCTACAGTGCTGCCTACTGCAGTTCAAAAGCTGCATTTTACATCTCTGGATTTAAAACAAACCCATGAAGAAAAAAATATCTTTGTTGTTTCCTATATTTCTGAAGATTTTGCTGCTACCACCTTACTGTCACTTAAATAAAGGCAGTATTACAGACGTGGAAGAACACAGTCCATACATAGGCAAACAGTTTCAAGTGTCAGACAATAATGTGATGAAATTTGCCACTCTTGACAAAATCCAAGAGGTCTGGCCATTCTGCTGTAAGTACCAGTTCCTAAACCCCACAGATTCTTGTGACACCTCAGTAAGCCCAAGCAATGAGATAATACTGCCAATTATTTCTCTAGAGGCAAGGTTTTTTTTTCCAAATTCCCTTTGTGAAGTTGAGGTTTGCTGAGAAAACTCACTTCTCTTCTTGATAGACAACATAAGCTTTTTTTTTCCTGTCCTGTCCCATCCCTTTGGACCAGTTTTGTTTAGCATGCAACATATGACAAAGAGCATTCACTAGCAATTAATGGCAAAGATTTACACGGAATCCTTGAAACATTTTTTCCCCTAAAAACACTGTTTTTCTCATGGTGTAATGAAAGATATCTGTGTTAACTTCCCATTCCTTGGCTTTTTCCCCCATTCTTTGCAGTGGTGACAAATTGATATTTGTTTCTTCCTGTGACCTGCCTTATTCTTTGCCGTGACGTTAGGTGACACTGGTTCACCAGGCAGTGAATGTGCCGAGGTAGTGATCAGGTCTGTGCTGGACGAGCAATCACCTATTCCTTATGAATCCCAAGACAAAACAGCAACAACCACACAACCTCTGCCAGACTAACGCAGACCTTCCTCTTCAGGGGCTACAAGATGTTTTCTTGTGGCCTCACCCAATTTCAGCGCCCTTGCTCCTCAGCCACACCACCAATTGAGCAGATTTGGTTCAAAAACTGAGTCAGAAGCAATAGCTAAGTTACAGAACAGAACTGCTGCTTCTGAAACAGAGACCCTACACTTGCATACTGAAACTGAAGCTGGTATGAAATACTGGTGCTATGGTATTTCACTACAGATTGTCCTGCTTCTCATTTCTACTTGCTTTATGATTCCCTTACAACTTCTCCCTATTTCTCAGTAAGTTTTTTATTTTCTCTAAATTACTACTTTATTTACCTACATGGCACCACTTCTTTCAACTGTAATACCCTCTATATACACACACAGCTGCACAAACATGGCACGCAATGACTTCTTCATTTATGCTGATTTTGTTATTTGAAAAGAATATTAATAAATACTGAAGTCAGTGATCATTCACACTTAAAATTTGAGAAACATTGCTATTGAGTGCAATATTAGCACTGATGTGAAGGAGAGGGATAACTGATTAATACTGGTTAAAGGCAAGGGTTTAACCTCCTCCTAACACAGACATCTTTCTTCTAGGTCTCCTGAAGGGGGGGTAACCTCTGCATTACACTTCTCCTGTATTCATCGCACTGAGATGGAAAAATGACCATGGTATTACACCACAGGGACCCAGCAAGCAGAGCCACTATTCCTAAAGCCCTAGCTGACTAAGCTGCAGTGAAATTACTGGGCTTATAACCTCTTGGGTACCATGGACTTATTTTCCCACTGAGCCTTCTGCTTTGGAAGGTTGTCCATCTTCCCTAACAGCACCAGGGGCACTGACTCCGTATCACTGCTGGAGCAGATGTATTTCTGGCATCTAATTTGGAAATGCAATGTCTGTAACAGTCACATACCTCGGTGAAACAGAGACTGACAACACCACGTGCCTTCTTGCTACACAACAACTAACCTCTGTGAGTGAGCGTTTCAGTGGAGCTGCTAACACTGCCCTGCACTCAGGGGATGCAGTCAGTAACGGGAACGTTTCTGCTGCTGCTTTCCCCAGCTTGCTCTGCACAGCCTTACCAGATCAGCTCCTACGCTGGTTAGATCAGAGCTCCTTTCTCCCTGACCTCTCTCTTCCACTCTTGCATGCCTACCCCTACTTGTCAGCCTGTCTTTAGCCCCTGCTTTAAATCCTTGGCTTTCTGGTATCTGAGTGTTTTTATAATTGATACTGTCCACCTTTAATCTTCTTCCTCTTTCATCATTTGCACCCAGGGATCTTACAGAATCAGCAGGCACTGTGTCTGGCCCAGGTGCTCCCCAGGCTGCCAGTGTCCACTGGTTTAGGGCAGTGGGAAACTCTTCTTCAAAAGCTCCTGCTGCAGGAAGGGTGTTAGACAGCGGCACAGCTATGACACTCTGAGGACTGGGCACAACAGTCCTCTCAGCATCTCCACAAATCTTTTCCAAAGCTAGCCCAAGCTCCAAACTTTGATCACACTTCTGTACTCTGCACTATCATCATTCAGGGGAAGGAGCTTAGAGTGGCATAACAAGATAACTCTTGACCACAACGTAGTTGACCCATTCCACACAGGGACAACAGGTGTATTGGTAGATACCAGTCTTCACCTGTCAGAACTGAGCTTCATTTTTAATTCTTTTAAAGCCAATAATTCACTCTACCTATACATAGACTTTCTGAAGCTGATCAAAGATGACTGCAGAGCCCTTCTGCGCCCTCCTAGATGACAACATGCAGTACAAGAAGTGGTGAGTACTGAGTATTTTCCTAAGATCATCTGTAAACTAATAGAACCAAACTTTTCAGATTTTCCTCTTCAATCTGGAAAGTCACCCTTACCTGGAGGCAAGCACTCCTCCGTTGTTAGTACAGACTTGCACTCACTCAGTTGGTACTTTAAGATAGCAGAACACAGGCTGGCTCAGAGCTAAAATAGCTGGAGCTAATGCAGGAAGCTCTTAGGAGTGCCCAGCATCTTTAGACTGTCTGGTAATTTCCTCCCAGATTAGAGGAAATAAGTGCAAGTCTGAATAGATGGATCATTTTTTAACATTAGCAAGAGCACAGTCTTGACTGAGATATCCTTAAAGTGCCAGGCGAAAAATGTATAAAAATGTATCAAAACTACTTATCACTGAGTATGGCTTTTTCCTATGCAACCATGGTAGCACTTTCACTTGCAAAAAAGTTGCTGCAGCTTACTGGGGGATACTGTCCAGAGAGAGAAAAAACAGTCTTTATGAATGAGAAGTCTTCTAAAACATCAATCCCATAAGGGTCTAGAAGCTGCTCAAGGCACAACTCAGTGAACAATCCATACCTGTAAGCTATTCACAGCTCCCATCATTATGGGGCATTTTTTTTTTTAACTTTGATGTCAACTTTCCTTTGAGCATGGGCTTTGCACACACCTAAAATGGAGAAATTGCTGATTTCCCTTCTGTATAGAGTCAGTAACGAGTCTAAAATTCAACCACCTAATTTTGTTACACTACTTTGAACACGAAGAGCTTCATGGAAGAAGCGCTGACCATAGCAAGTAATTTCTTCATACTTCATTGCACAGACATACAGTCCCAAACCAAACAAGAGCAATGCAAATAAACACGAGGACTGAAATGAAAAAGGCACAGGCAACTATATCAGGTCAAATCTGCAATGAAAATGACCCCTCTGACAAGAAATTCTAGTGCATTGAAGAAACAAGAAAATAACTCACAAAGAGCCCAGAATGGATTGAATGAGGTTTCCAAATGAGGTGAAATTGAGAGCTTAGATATTTTCTTCACCTGTTATGTCCCTTTTTTGAACAAGTGTAGTGGTTTCCTAATGATTATGGACAGGAGAAAATTGGTTGCAATTTTTCTAATGTAGAGTATATTTGTGTTGCATTTAGAACACCACTTCCAACAGCACCAAGCAAAAGGCTAACTATAGTTTGGCAAGTATACAAACAAGCAAAGAGGAACAGGGCCCCTCACTTTTAAGTTACGTGTTCCATTTCTGCCTGGCAATTCTGCAGTCTCCCTAGTGCCTGCCCTGGTTGCAGCACCTTCTCACATCATTATGCCTTTTCCCAGCTGCTTGTTAATATGTCATGCAACCCAGAGCTAGGATGAGTGTTGATGGGTCAAAGAAAATGCACTGGAACTTTGGGGAGACATACAAACAGTTGCTAAAGAGAATTTGCTTATTGGAGCATGTTTCAGCACATTTAAAATACCCATGCCTTCCTTGTTGGTCCACTGTTCCTTAGTTTTTCCATTTACTTTAGAGCTGTCTGTGCTGCATGTTTTTTTTTTTTTTTTTTCCCAGCACAGTGTTTTGCTCAGAGAACTCTAATAATCATACCTTGGCATGTTTCTTCTTTAAGGCATTTAGCTCTTTCTGCTGCTTCTTTAAATGCTTTATGTAAGCCTAGAAAAAGAGAAGTTGGATCAATTTTTTTCTGTGGATGTCCTGACTTGTAACCATATAAAATTCTGACTATTGAAAACAATTAGAAACACATGTTGAAAAGCTTGTGTTCATATTTACCTTCATTTGCTTTAAATCTTCTATCTTCACTTGAGGAATAAGGTCTATACCTAGGAAGGTATTGGTATAGATTACCTAAACTTCATAAATAAATTATTTCAATTCTGATTTACCCCAGAAATCTATATTTAAGTTATTAATTAATGCTTTTCACAGCATAAAAAAATCACTACTCAGACCCAAACCACACAATGAAAACATTTCTAACTGTTGTGAAATCGCCATGGAATCTGATGAATTCTAAATATTTTTAATTACTTAAATCTGCAACTCTGTCAACATATTTGTGGAGGGGATTTTTTTTTTTGTGGCCTATATCAGAAAACAGTCATTCCTACTGGCCTGCATCCAGACCTCTACTCCCAGAGTCACACAGGTTGCTACTATCAGCTAGCTCTGTACAGCTATATAGAGATCGCTTAATAAAATAAGGCTGTGTTGGCTTTATGTAGTCATTTGGATAATAAAAAAGAAAACTATCTGCAAGTAGACAAAGGCCACTATGAAAAAAAAAAAAGGAAAGAAAAGGAAAAGGTCATATTTTAAGAGAACTAAGAATGAATAGAACTGCAAGACTTCTGTTCCATGACTTCCCGAATTACTTGAGAACTGGGAGAATTGCACATGATTTTCACCTACCTTTCTTCGTCTCGGTCCCAGACCCTGAGCCAGCAGTTGTACTTGGTCGAAGTTCGGAGCTACTCTGCGGAGTCACATTTGCTTTGGCATTATTGGCTTTGCCTTTCCGATCATTCTTTGAAGTGTCATTTGGTACATCAGCTATATCACTCTGGAAGAAGTATTCACATTGTAATAAAACAAACGCAGTTTTATCAGTAGTACAAAAATTGGGGGATGTGAAATTTATGAACTTGTCTACTTCTAAATAATTCTGAAAGCTGCAACATAGTTTTGGACAACACTATGCTCAATAAAGTATTGGTAACCCATTTTAAATAGTTAAATGCTAGAGCTGGGCTACTTTCTCATTTCTAATTCTAAAGGATGTGTTATCATGACCTGGGAAAATTCAGCCAGTGAATGGTATCTCCATACGTGCATTGACATATGCTAATGCATTTCAGAGTATACTGAAGAAGCTTATATCTGAAAATGAGAAATGATGAGGTAACAAGCATTGATGGGAGAAGAGACCAGTTTAGTTAGAAACAAACAAATCCAAATTCAAACCAAGAAACCAAACTCAGTCTTTTACTGACAAAACCTTTTGTAACCTACATTTTGCATCCTCCATTATAAATACATATATATATATATAATATGAACATAAATCACTGTGGCTGTTTTTGTCATAAAGTTTTACTTACAGTTTCAATACCCATAGCTCTCATTTGGTCTGCTCTTTTTTCTGTGATAGACAAAAATTTCTTTGGATCTGACAAAGCATCCACAATATCTGCAAAACAAAACCAAACAATGCATTATTCTGTGGCTGTTTTATGAGCCATGCTTTGCAATCATTGTAGAAATGCTCAGTTTTTTCCCTTGGTTCAGCCAAAAAAGCTGAAGAGTTGTTTCTGAGGGATGGCTAAAACACGAAGGTAAATACCCTTCTGACACCTTGAACACAGAGTCAACGGAAAGCAGTGGTGCCCCAGTATCAGGGGCCACCCACAACTATTCCATAAGCAAGAACTACTTACTCATCCTGTATTTATATAGTCATAGGCTGTTGGAAGCTATTACTCCAGATTTTTTTGTATCTGTGTGATCAGACAAAGTTATGTTTGCAGATGCATATTTCCTCTACCCTGCCTAAGTAACTAAATGAAATCCCTTTCCTACAAGTAGTCCCTTTTCTTTGATTTACACAAAATAATGAAATCAACAACATCCCAGTCTCTCTTTATTTTTAGAGTAAAATCCAATGTTACCATGCATTGTGTCCCATGCTGGTGGAGGAGTCTACAGAGGACAGATTGGTGATTGTTTTTGCTTGTTAGCAAATTGCCTGAACTGCAACCTTCGCTATCTCCAATAAAATCAGAAGCAAGGCCACTAAGGTCACTGCAAAACTGGTACAAAGTCAGAATAAAGCCTCAAGAACAAGAATGGAATTTCTATCTGTTTTTTCCTGCTGGAGTGTGAGAAAAATTTTTAAAATTAAATAAATAATTGCATTGTGTAAGCTTAACCACATGGATTATATAATGTGTATTATAGAGTGATAAACATGCAAGTATAAGTTTAGAGGAAGACAGAAAGGTGACTCTTTAACTGTATAATGAATGATCTCTTTTCAAGGCTAACTTCAAAACCATCTCAAGAGAATTCACAGAAGCAGACCCTTCCATGAAACAAAGTGATTTTACAAATTAAAATGACTTAGTATTTACAGTCACAATGTATTCAGAGACCAGAGCAGCAATCTGTTTTTTGGATCTCCTGGAAACTTTAACTGCAGTATTGTGGACACAAGGGTCTCTGGTCTGAGTTAATAGGTTCTCCTGTCAAAGCGGTAACTTAAGGAAGCTGTAGCCTGACTCAACATTCACTACCAAATACATTGTGTAATTAACTCGGGCTTTTGTCAGGACCATTATGGGGATGTGGATGGTGATTCATGTGCAAGGAATCTTTCTTTTTACAGAATGGTGTAAAGCCCTATTTCAGCTTCTTACATGCAAAAAATAAACATTTTGCATCCTTATATTCTGAAGACTGCCTCACTGGTGGAACAGGCCATCACTTCTGCAGTGACAGTTCTGACAACTGTAACATTCATGAGCATTAAAATTTTGCCCATTTTCATGCTGTATTTTCAGGCATTTTCAAAACTAGCTTACTATGATGCCAGACAGAGAAGCTGGCCCATTGACCAGGTCTGTAAAAAATACCCAACCTATTAAAAGCTTTGGAAATAAACTTGCCATCCTTCACATGCAAACTGTGGTTTGGCCTAAATTATTCTGTGAAATGATCTTCAGAAATCTGAAATGATCTTTAGAAATCATTGGACATACCGCTGAAGGAAAAAAAAAGATAGACTGGACTCTAATTCCCATCGAAATTGCCTCAAATACCATTTATTAGCTTTACATATTTCTTTATCTACCCAAAACAGATTGTCTCTACTAACTGTGGTTCCTCAACAACCTGTTCTCTCTCTCTCTTACAAAACTGTATTTCATACACATGTAACATGGGTAGAATTTATTTTTACACATAGTATGGCCCTGTAGCCCGTAACTGACTATTTCCTCTAGCCTAGTGAGCAAGTTTTCTGTCCTTGACTCCAATTCTTCAATGAAAATCCACGACTAATGTGATGTGTGTTTGAAAATAGTACCTGATTATCATGAACGTCCCAGTAGAAATGACTATTATGTTGAGGAGAGCAAGGTCTCTGTAAATTGTGTTACTAACTAAGTACATCATCAAAGGCTCAGCATTTCTATGTGGGAAGTGACTCATCACTGCTTCTGACATTGTCATTTGGCCCCTGCTTACGTTTTTCTTCCTCCCAAGTGAGGTAAAGTGGAAGGGGATTCTTAGCACTTTCTAAAAGGAGCCAGGTTAAATATAAAACTAGCAAAATCATAGGATGAGTTTATTACAGAGGACTCTAACCACTACTCTAAGTAGCAGTGATTAATGACATACAGGTTTGTTTCTCTGGAAAATGCAATTTCATTTGTGTTAATTTCCACTGGTATTGTATTGGGAAATGAGTAAGGGCTGCAGATAAATGACAAAAAGTTACTGTATCATTTGAAAACTAAAATTATGCATATTTTAAAGCCTTCAGTGCAGCAAATATTCTGAGTTGATGTTAGTTCTTAAAACTTATTAAAAAAAAAAAAAGGAGCAGGTAGCTGATGAATTGAGTTGTACCCTCCTAAAGATCTGTTGAAACAATCATGGAGATTGTTAACGATAGCTCATAAATGAATGAGGTGCTCTGCTGCAGATGCTGCCGAAGTACTTATCAACACATGCCAAGAGAATATTAATGAGTCCACCTGAGTGTCAAAAGATATCTCTCAGTTGTTCAGGTTGTTGTTCTGTATTGATGAGAAAAATACAAGTATCACATCAAAACTATCTGGGGTTGGGAGAGGAGAATTAATAATTGAACTCATTTAGTTCATATTGACAAGGAGCCTGTTTTTCCCAGCATTGATGGTAAGCTATTACAACTAGTTTCCTTATCCTAGTAGCAATTTACTGTAATTAAAAAGGTATTTAGGGGGAGAATTGTTTTTCTGTATCCTCAGATCTAACAGATAAACCATCTTTAGTGATGCTGAAAATGTAGTCGATAGACCAATACTGAGCCGCGCACAATTTGCAAATTCTAAATCAATATTCAAACTGTTTGAAAAAAAACATCTTTCATATCTGAATTTGTGCAATGCATTTAAAATAAATTCCTATTGAACAACACTCAGTATATTTAGTGGCGTGAATCCACCCACACCCTGCTAAGCCCAATTTCAACTTCTAGATAAAGCATGGTATCACTCAGAAAAGAAGTCAATACCAATTCAGAGCATGTACCTAATTTAAAAAAAACCACTTTTAGTGAGTCACTTATTGTCAAAAGTTTTATTTCAGAAACGAATTAAAGCACATGCTCAGCTGCGTCCCTTAGATTCATGTTTTAGCTCCTGTCCTGAGAATCTTAAGTTTATGCAGACGCTTGTATCTGCCCTGAATTGAAGTGTCTGATGTTGTGTAGTCTAGAAACATACTGCACAGCAGTGCCCGAAAGTCTGATCAGCAAAGTTGACTTTTTAGCAGCGAGGATGTCCCCTATGTATGTTATGAGCGTATCTGTAAATATTTAACTTGGACTAGCAAGTTATTGCTAGTCAAGTCAAGGCATGTTTACTTTTTGAGAGTGTGGGTAAATACCAACAACAATATTCCAATATTCTCAAGAATACAGCAGTGGTTTTGCATGGAATAATGCAGGTCTTGATTCTGCTTTACTTTTTTACACCTACAAACCAGAAAATACAGGTAACATACAGACTTATCAATGCAAATTTTTACTTTTAAAAAAATAATTATCTTACTAAAGCATCACCAAATGGGGAAAACCTAATTGAGACTATTAGCTTATTTCCCATATTATTTTGCATTTTGTCTTCAATAGATATATTTCACTTCTGTTAAAACTGAGGCATTGGATACATACTGAGGGATAGGATTATCTTACCTCCAAAACCATCAGGCACATATGTTTTAAGGACAATGTTGCAGAAAACTGTCGGGAGAGAGAGTGGTTTGTTGCCCTCATTCCGCAGGGAAATGTGTCTGTAACCTGCTTGCAGACCATCCAGAGGCAGGATCCTCTGACCAATCAGCTTATTATTGTCATCATACACTGCTATTCTCAGGACAGCCAGATCAGGGAGAATCACCTGGAAAGCCATAAAATGAAGAAATTCAATGACTCGAATACAGTAGCACTGTCCCCACCTCCCGTGTCTGAAGCAATCTGCTCATTCGGTTTGTACACCAGAAACACGGTCTGCTATCTCAGTAACATAGTGTCAGTCCCCTTTGCTGAGCAAAACTATGTACTTTCCGAGGATTCTTTCCTAGAAAAGTTTTCTTCACCCTATAAAATGGGCAAATTTCAGAGCATGCAATCCTGCAGCTCGCAGCTACACTAGCGCGCATTGGAGAGCAGTGCATGGAAAAGCAGGCAGGTAACCACGACATGGGAAATGGCAGAGGTGGTGGCAACTAAAGGGTAGACAATGCTGGATCTGGGGGGATAACGTCAAAAAGGAAATTTGGGATGTATCTCGGAGAACAATGTAGAAGAGCAAGAGCACGGTGCAAGCTGATGAGATGTATGTTAAACTATGGGTCCTGCAGAGACGAGAAGCAGACAGAGGAGGGCAAGAGCGGGTGGAAGCCCCATCCCGGCCAGCAGAAGCAGACATGAAGGGAGCACAGTACGCGTGGCTGATCGGGGGAGCTGCGGTTGCTTGGATCTGTCAGCCCCCATCTCGACCAACCAAAACAAGAGCAAAATGCCCCCTGCCACCCTGGGAACCAAGGAGGTTGCTCTGAACACTGCCTCTGCACAGACAGCAAGGGAGAGGAGACCAGCTACCTGCGAGGGGCAACCTCTGTGCCCGTCTGCCTTGCCTGTGCTGGCAGCGGGTTTCCCAACCTGCCTCTTCTCATTGATGCTCAGAGGAAAGATCAAAATAATTTGCCTCTACTATCTCCTTTCATTTCCCCTCCCACTACTTTTCATTTTTAAGCGCAGAAGGAAGCACCGAAGCCACATGAGCTATTTGCAGGGTCTGCCTGCCACAGAACACAGGTTGAGTTGTTACAACTAAGCCCTCGCAGCACAGTGTGGCACCAGCACTGACCCCCGCCTCCCTCTTACACAACAGAGTGACAACACAGAACTTGGGTTAGAATGACTGAAGCTTTATTTTAAAATCAATTAAAAGAAAAGCAACAAAACATGACAGAAGAACAATCAAGCACGTTACCTGTGAGAAACTGTGTAGGATTAAACCTCAGCTGGAGGAGAACATTGCAACCCAAACTGGGTACCTAAGACCTCTCCTCTACAGGCCGCAGATCAGCACATCATTACATGATGGCTCAGGTAAAGCGTTTCTAGGGAAAAGGAGGGGGGCTGACGGGTTTGTAGTTCCCTCTCTATTCATTTGTTCTAAGGTGTTCTGGAAGGCACTCTGGCCCTCCCGACTTTCTAGCATCTTCATGTCCTCCCAGGTCTTCATGTCCTCCAACTGGAAGAACCCTTCCTGCTGTGCTTGTTTCAATCACCTGCCTAGTCACCAACAGCTGGCTTGATTAAAACACTCAGCTTGAGATGATTAGGGCCTGCGATGAAGGAAAATAACTTCTTGTCTGACTTATAGAGTTACTCAAGAGAATGTGTGGTTATCTAATTGTTTATTGCAGGTTAGAGGGGAAAGTCCAAGGACTACTGCTATTAGCATCGGTCACTACACCCATGTCATGATACCCAGGTCCTCCTCGTCCAGGCTGAAGCTGTATTTTATGAGCCTTTTGAGTTAAGAAATAAGAGGCAACAGATGCTGATCTAATTGCCAGCAAGCCATGGGCAACTGCCTGATTGCCTGTCATGCACCTAATGCATTTTTCCTGTGTCTTTTCATCTGCAGAGAAAAGTGCTTAAATTCACATTCATTTCAGAATATATTTGAGTCCAGAAAAGCTTCCTGCATAAATTACATTTCTATTAGAAACTGGTTATACTGTTAAGAAAGTAGATTATGTGTGTCATATATGAAGGGTAAAGTGGTAAAACCACTCAGCAAAGACTGTCGCTTTGGAAAAGAGCAACCATTTTGCATGACAACAGAACAGGTGTAAGGAAAACAGACACTATCAAAGACAGCACTGCTAACACATGTAGTCTGGATGAAACTCCAGCTGACAAAAAATAAAATACAAAATAATATATATATGTATCATATATATAAAGACTGAGAGGGAAAAACTGAACATTGGCAATGACAACTGTTATCTCTCTCTTTATATCCCCCATACCAAGAAAAAAAGGTTTGTTTTTCTTTGCTATTGGAAAAAAAAAAAGAAAAAGAAAAAGAAAAAAAGTACCTCTTGCACATGGACTACTGGAGGAGGGAGCTGAAAACACGTCTGAGGAACACAGCACCCTTCCAACTTTTCCATGTAATGACATTGACCTTAGCTTTGGATGCAGCATCTCACCTGCCCTCTGGGCTGAAGGAACAGTGCAAGATAGCAGCCACTGCCAGGGCAGGGAAGAAGAAATCTCCAAGGAATGATGGTGTCCACCAGCGGGGGCTCATTCAGAGCAGACTGCATACCTTGAACACAGGCATGGCCACGGAGGAGGTACCTCCGAGTGGGAGGAGGAAGCAAAGGGGAGGGAAAAGCCAAACAGAAACAAAAAATCATGTGACAGCTACAGAGATTATCCATTAGAAAAACAAAACAAAGCAAAATTAAAAAAAAAACTCTCGAAAGCTTATTTCAGCTTCAAATTGTTTACTGTAGTAAACAGGAGCCCTACAAACCCTTTTTCATGGGAGCAGTACTTATTCATGTGAGCAGTCAGACTGAAGCAGGGAGGGGTGGCTCAAGTGAGCAAAGATGCTCAGGTGCAAAACGTCTGGCAACCACACACTGTGCTTCCCAAGTATCCTACCTTTCGAAATACAAATGATTCTTCATTGTAAACAGGGTTCAGACCATTGTTCATCACCATGCGTGTTCGAAATTCTTTACGTATTGTGTCCGTGGGTAAACCATACATATCCACTTCAACATACGTACCAATTTTTTTGTCTGATAAGAACTGACCAGATATTACCTGCAACATAAGGACAGAAGAGTTAAAAAAAAGCAGTACAGAAAATAACAGCACTGTAAAGTATGTAGTGCTTCAAGAATACTGGCAATATTGTTGATTCTTTATTTAGTGACATCAACTTGCAAAACACCTTCTACAGAATAGATATGTTAATCTAATTGTATGAAAATGGTAAATGTAGCATTAGTATTGCACTTTTTTCCCTCAAAAGTTATTGTGTTAAAGCCTTAAATACATATTTGTCTTTAAATGGTACTACACGGAGAGTACAGAACAGAAATGATCTGGTTGTGCTGCACAAGTTAAAAAGAGGTGTGTGTATACATATGTACAAGCAATGCCTTTATAATATTTGACAGCCATGCTATAACATCTAGACCACACTTATTTTCTGAAGGATTTCCTCTATTATACTTCATCCTGAATTTCAGTGTTAATGAGAACAGACACTAAAGGCAAGTAGCAGCCCAGTGGGAAATTCTCATCGAGGCATCTCGAGATTCTGGCAGCTGTTGCTCTTTATACAGCTTAGGGGATTCACTACAGCACCACACACAAGCTATTAGTCCAAGAAGTCCCGACACGAGACACGAGAAGTCCCTGACTTTTCACCCATGAAAATACACGCGCAGTTCCTGTCTTAACCCATAAACTAATTTAATATCCCACTTGCCCATAAAGAAAATGTCATCAGCTATCAATTTTGGTGGATCTTGTATCAAGAATGACAGACTAATCAGTGTTGGAAGAAGAACATTTCCAAAGATACAACAACGGTAAGAACAATTTTGCTTCCTGGTCACAGTTGTTTGTATATCCCTGTGCATGCCAAGTTGGTGGCCCTAATCCAATGGTGAGGCGTGAACATGATCAGAGAATCAGAGAATCATTATGGTGGGAAAAGACCTTTAAGATCGAGTCCAACCGTAAACCCTTCAACACCATATCTGCTAAACTGTATCCCCAAGTGCTTCACCTACACGTTTCTGGAACACTGCCAGGGATGGTGAGTCCACCACTTCCCTGATGTTGCCATCTGCACAGCGGTGCTCACAAATAGTGAACACTTCAGGAATCAGAGGTCAAGGATTTGATGGAAATGCAGTCTCACGTGTATAGTGACCACATTAACAAAATATGTTGAACAAAACCATCGAAACCAAAGAAATCCAGGTAATGCTATTCAAAACTACCGTGAACATGTGCTTGTAACTTTCTGCTCTGTTGCACTGTCATCTATTATATGTCTTGACAACAAAGAGGTGAGCGGAAGCTACTGCTCTGCTTTCACTTAGGTGCAATCTCCAAACTAAGTCACAATCTAATCAATCTAATTCCATATTCTGTGTCTAATAAGCGCAGGATGCCTTAAAATAATTTAAAAAGCAAACCCAGGACTCCTCTGTTTTGTTAAGTACATAAAACTTCTTTTGATCCTTTTCTTAGTCAAGATTAATCTAGCAACAGCAAATGATTACTCAGTGGTAAATTTTTACTTCATTTAGATGACCCAATACTTAGAAATAGAGTAAACATTGTTAGTATGATTAAGGAGCGAAGAAAAAAATGAAACCCTTATCTTTTCACAGATCTAAGTTCATTTTGACCCATTATTTCCTTTTTCCAGGAAACATTCTGAATTACAAAGCTGAAAAGTTACGTAGCTGAGGGGTACGTGACTGGGCTTGGGTCCACTCTTACCTTTTTTATAACAGCATGCTAGTACAAGGGAAGTCCTGCTCTCAGTCAGGGCTTCTAGCTATTACTGTAGTACAAATAAAAGTAATTCAGAATCAACAAACCATGCAGTGGAGATATGTTCTTCTTACAACCCTGATCCATCTCTCTCTCTCCCTCCCCCTGTTTACATCTCCTAGGCATGTTTTGTCTTTAATAGGATTGTACATCCTCCACTGTAGGGACCATACCTGTCCCTGTGCTGATGAGCATCGCAATCTCCAGTAATGCCCCCAGTTCTGAGTAGGCACCAAGCAGTAATCACTGCAAAGAAAACTTTTTCTGTTTTCCCTCTGTAATCCTCAAATGCACTGGATGACATTATTATTCCACTTTTACACTGCAGTAATACGAAGTATGAAGTTTTATCCTCATTTTAATCATACAAAAAGAGCACACTGCAAAAAGAAGTGGACTGAAAGCTCTTGGCACTGTTAGCACTGTATTCTCATCACCACATCTCACCACACTCCTTTCTTGGAGGGACTCTACTGCCATCTGACATCAAAAAGACAGAACAACACATTTCTGTTCTTCTGGAGGCACAAATGAAATGTTAAAAGGTCTCAAGTGCAATGAACACTTGCTTGGGGAGAGTTTGAAATCACCATGCTATGTATAGACAGTGACAAATGAAGGGAAAACTTTTTGATAAATTGCATGTAGGATATTTCAGCTAAAAGAGTGAAAAGTCAGTCACAAAATCAGATACACAGTTGTCAGTCTCCTCCTAAATTGTGAGAAGATCTAACCATGCTTCATAATTGCACCATAAGTTTTAAGGGCTCCTTAGATAGATGACTCCAAAGTTGGGTCCTTCATCACATCAACCTTTTTCTCTCTCATGTCCAATATGAGGTGAATATAGAGGCTGGGCTGCTCCATAAAAAATGAATAAATAAAATAATAAATAATAAACTGTCTTCCAAATAAGCAACTTCAGCTCTACTCCTTTAACTTCCTCAGCCTACCAGGCTCTCCCAAAGCTTTGATTTCTTCCCTGTAGTACTGTAACACATAGTTGCCACACCTTAGGTCACAGCACAGATTTTAAGTTCTACTTGCTTTGAAAATATCCCATCCAAAAATACCCATTACAACTGAAGTTTGTGCAGTTACTTTCTACTCACAGGAATGAACTTTATTCATTTATTTATTTGTGAAGACTAAAGTGAACCACAAAAGAGTATGACGGGGCTTAAAATTCAGTGCTAATGTGTAATAAGAAACCACTTCTAACTATATCATGTTCCATTCAGTTCAAATAAACACAGATGTCTAAGCCAGCAATCAAATAAAAAAAAAGAATGGGAAGAGTTTGATAAAATCCACGCAATCCAAACATAATTTAGATATGTTTCTGTTCATGTTTAAATGTGATTTTGGATGTTCCAGGACGACAGAAGCTCTTAAATTTCTATTTTACCTGTACAGAACATGTTGCTGCAATTACACCATCTACAGGAGTTTCAGAGAAAGGGTCAAATGTTCGATCTGGTCGCCGCATGAAATCTGGCTTAAGTAGATACCTTATTTTAAGAAGAAAAAAAACGCATATTTTTCCATGGGAATTAAAATTGTATTAAATTGTATTAAATATAAATAAAATGGATGCTCTAGCTTTAAAAAATGAAATCACCCAGGACACTGTAAAACACAGACTAATATTCTGTATGCAAGTATGAGGAAGGAAGAATGGAAATGTTATAGTTGTCTAAAATACAGGTAAATGTTAAATCTTTATTTTGAATTACTAGCAACTCTTTTTGCTAGTAAATCTAGACTGAGTTTCAAGATGAAATTAAATGTAATATAAAGCCTTTCATAATAATTTAAGAGTGCATTCTAAAAATACAGTGAGTTAACACACAATAAAATTAGAAGCTCTCATTTACTCCAATTCTTTAACACTTTTGAAAAATACGGAGGATTTAATCCATCTTTTTTAAATGAAGCAGTTCCACAGAACCAAGATTCATAACATAAATTTTAGCTTGAAGCTATTTTTTTCATCTCAGTTATAAAACCTTGGGGAGAAGAGCTGATAATGTTAGTACTGACAGACTGTTAATTACAGTAGCGTGAAAGGTACTACCATAATAACACTTACAACACATCCCTGAGGACTACACACTGGATCAACATATCAATGAAGCCGATACGTGCACTGATGAATTAAAACCCAAAGATTCTGCCATCAGAATAAAACAACAGCTGATCCTCAGCAATGCTCTGCTCCATATGACAGGAATTCTCTTCCACTGATGGAAGAAAATGTCTAACTGGAGTCATGCTGCTAATTCTGCAGCCCTGGCAGACAGCAGCTGCTAGTATCTCATATTTCATCTAGTGAAATTTTGGACACAATCTTATAAAGGCCTAGACAAAATTCACAACAAACTACAGAAGTGACGGAAAAATTCAAGTGGAACGAATCATAATCTGTTTTCTCACATTTTTACGTAATACTTGGTTTCTATTTAAGAAAGTAATATTCCTCAGAAAGTAATACTCATCACACTCTACATGCATGTTATTTCATAATCTTTTATTAAAGTAGATTATGAGCAGGAGGGAACAACCGGAAATGTTCTTAGCCCACAATTTAGGCCTGTTGAAATCAGCAGTGTTCTTATGCTGCTGATTTCAGCATAAGATAGAGTTTCTATCTTATCTAGTTTCATCAACATGTAACATGCACCAGAAAATACGAGTAGCACAGACAGAAAGACACAGCATTTTTATTTTAATTGCCCTAAGTTTATCTTCGTGACTAAACCAGCACCACATTTATAATGTATAGTAGCAAACTACTGCAAGTATATTACCATATATTATCACATTACTATAATACTGGAAGACTGATATGAGATATAAAACCCAAGTAATTTGATCCAGTGTTTTAGAGAATTAGGTGAGATAAATATATAGTCTCTTCACCTAGCATCTCTCTGTGGGTCTAACAGCAAAAGGTATCACACTTTGCCATTAAAGCAAAAAGATTTGTTTTCTTCTGCTTTTATTATTCAGATTAGTATATCAGTAATATTTCGAGATTCCAAACAAAATGACCATGGACTGCACTTTTGTCAAGCACCACAGCTGCTATTTGAAGAGTTCACAACTGAAATAAAGGACTGGAAGGGCAGTGTATAATTGCCCATTCTGAGGAAGAGGAATTTTCCTACGCCCCATCCACTCAAACTTTTTTCCTGTACAAGTTTTGCATTAGTAAAAACGTTATTTCTTTTCCAAGGAATTGTAGATTTTAATGTGTTTCTGGACTGCTACTTCCTACAATTCATCATATTTTCTCTGTCTATCCTATTAAGGTATAGACACTGGAGAATTAGCTATCAGCATTTCTTGAGAATCCCTAACGTTGCAGAACTAATGAGCGAGAATTTGGAGAGATGAAACACTGTGGTGTTCCCTGTGCAATTTGCTCACCTAAAGTACAAAAATAAGGAAGAATAGCAAAACAAAAAGGCTCCCTATGACCTAAGATTCAACCTGCCCTACTTGACTATTCTGTGAACTGTGCAGCAAATCCCTTAACGAATTTGTATCTTCAAAAAAAGATTGAGGATAGAAGTTGAAGATGGATTTAAATATCTCTGTGTATGCTGCTCATGATCTTCTTCCTAATTTGCACACAAAGCCTCTTCTATCTCATTAAAAAATGGGCATAATTAAAAAGCATATTCATCACAAAACCTCCTTGCAGGGGATAATTCTCCCTGAATTCTGCTAATTTCTACTCTTCACATAGCATCTCATTTTTCTTTTGTAACACATAATTAATAGTGACAATATTTTATTAAAGCCATAGTAAAGGATTCTGACACACAGTGACAACAGTTTAAATCACATCACTCACCCGCATGATCCATTATATTCAAATTTTCCTTGATTCAATTGCATTGCTAAATCTGTCAAGAGAGTGAAAAAAGAGGCATCTTTCCTCCAGAATAATGCATAACATGAATGATTGCTCTTAGAAAGAAAATAAGACTGCTTATCCAGAATAACTAGTTTAAGCGAAAATCAGTGCACATAAAATACACGCACATAGATATACACACACACGTATATTTATACACACACATCTAAGAAATAAAAGAGGCAAACATATTTTCTCACAGTAGTAACACCTTTTACCAACCAAGCTGAAGTCTAACCTGTGTTTACAGTCCCCTCCGAATGCAAACACAGCATCAGACTGCGGTCGTTTAAGTGCCTGGGATAAGATTCCTTCCCTCTGCCTTTTGAGATTTACAGTAGAAATACCTCCATTTGAACTAGTGATCTGGAATTATTTTTAATAATAGAAGGATACGGGCACTTCGAACATTAATCTCATTCTAAGGCAGACAACTAAAACAGACCAGATTAATCATGCCCAAGAAGTGTGTACTTCTCTCCAGTGACTGTAGACAACCACCTCTCATGAAGATGTCTGCATCTGGAAATCTTAAAGAAGGTGAGATGAATCTTGCTCTGGGTTTGTAGGAGCTTATTTCCATGAAATGCCAGAACAAGAGTCCACAGAGTTCACAGGAACTTAATCTCAGAATCTAGAGCATCTGAGTTTCATTCAATGCATTATTATAGCACTTCTCTACAAAGATAATAGTCTGTTCCCTCCAAAATCCCAAACTCAACAAAAATCATTTTTCCTGAGGTTTCCAATTAAATCAGAATACAACATTTTTGTTTTAGTGATCTTCTCCTGCCCATGGACTCTACCTTTAAAGAGTGCAAATACCTCTTCTGTATGTCCTTGTTTTGCATACAATTATAATGGTTATTATTCTCCTTTCTTGGCAGTCTCACAGCAGACTTGACTTCTGTTTCCTTAACTATTCTTAAGACTCTCAGCACAGCTGGGTCACAGAAGTCTATCACAGGAAAGTTCCTTATTTCCAATGATACAGGAAACACTGTTTAATTTTGCAATAGGAAGGAGTTAAGAATGACATGCATTGGGTAGAGGCAGTTTGGGCTTTCTCGGGGCTTCCTGGCCAGAAATCAGTGGTGGGCAGGGGCACAACGCTTTGCAGGAGAGAATCTGGGGTATGCTCATTAGGAATGTCTACTGTACGAAAGACATCCTTGAAAGGAAAGGAAATTAATGGTACTATCACAGGCTAGAAGAAGAAAACGGAAGAACTGGTCTGCTACATAAATGGTTGAAGACATTCCTAGATTCATTTAAAAAACAAAACCAAAAATACCCCGTTAGTTATACTCACACCTTTGTTCAACAGGGGCCTTAGATTTCCTCTCAGTTTATGTCACAGAGAATTATTTACACTCTCTGCCATCATTACATAAGATGAGTTCTTGTATCTGATTCCCTGATGCTACACGTGTTACTCTCACACTTAACAATAGCTAGTCTAGAGATATATTTAGTATATAGTCATTACTTTTCACTATCTTAATTTGCACATTCCTTCATTTTTACTTTGGAGAAATGCACCTGGCTGTGGCAAAGCTGTCTCTTCAAAAACAATCTTTTCCCTGTAATATTTTTATTAATAACATTATCATTTATGTGAGTTACATTACTCTGTCAATTACTTTTACCATGAAAGGAGATTGAATTTTTGTTCCATACATTTTTTTTATTGCTTCCTTTTCTTACGCTTCTATAATTCCCCACACGCAGTATTATTTAGCCATATGTCTCCTTCCTAAAAAAAATGCCAGAAGCAAATCCATGGCATCTGTTTGAGTGTTACTGCCCAAGCCATTCTCTAGAATTCAGGTTCACTGGTTGTCGCTGCTTACCTGGGGTCTGATAGTTCAGTGAGACCATCTGGCAGCCAGCGTTCCAGAAAATTTGAGGCATGTAATTACTGGAATCCACTCGGCCTCCCTTTGGGTATATCCGACTCATTTGTCGTTTATTATAACTGTATCATTTGTTAAGGGAAATGAAATAAAAACAGCATAGAAATGTATTGTCATAGCCTCATATCTTCAATATTTGTTATGTTATTCCTACCGTTCCTTACTGTATGAGCTACATTCCTAGTTACACCACAGACATGGAACATTGTAAATGAAGTGGACATTTGTTGTTTAGTTATCGCATAAGTAGAGAAATACTATAAACAGTTAAAAGGATACTTTACAAACTCAATTGCATGTGTCTTCAAATACCCTAGTCCAACTGATTCATTGAAAGAGGACATGTTATGATGAATATTGCGTTCTAGGAAAGAAAAGACACTTAAAATGCTGCTGTAATGATGCATCAAAATTCACAATCACGCATCATACGTAATAGCAGGATATACTATTCAATGAAGTACTGCAAAACTGGTCTGTTCCCCAAGAGCTGTCACTTATAGAATCACATCATACTGAAAATAATTTTAATAATATTTCTGACCTGCCTTTTTCTTTCACTTCTTGGAAAAATAACAGAATTTTCATTTTTTGTTTAGGACAAAACTATGACTCAGGGCTTGCACAGTGTTGCTAGATAGCAAGAAACAACACGAAAAATGTTCTAGCATGCAATATGAAAGCATTAGCTACCTCCTGATCTTTGCAGCAACCATGCTCACCTTACTCTAATGAAAAAAAGCACTAAAATGAAGTTAATCAGAAAGGGAATATATAGAGAATATAATCACTCTCAGCAACTTCAGATTCTCCCAGTAATTTAGTGACTCCATGTGGACGACCAATGGAATAACAAGCTATCTTAATATTCAAGGAAACAGATATCTTAAAATATAAAAATGAAAGTCATTATAGTATAAAATCTTACACAATTTCTAAACTCCAGAAACAAAGATATGAAAAAGTACTTAAAATATGCCGACAAATACTTTTATTTCATTCAACCTTTTATGTTACCTTCTGCTACATCGAAACCTTGAAATTTTACAGGCTGAGCATAGTTGACCATTGTTGATAAATACGGATGTATATTGGTTGTGGCACCTACATATTTGTAAGATGCCATCCATGCTTGTTCATCTTCAACAGTTACTAAACCCTGAAAACACATTTAAAAAAATAATCACTATTTGTGTGTGAATGCTACTGTTGGAATTTCAAACGCGAAATAAAATTATACCTAAATCTGCAGAAAGTTAAAATAAATGCAAAATAATACAAGAAAAGTGGAAATTTAATGTCACGAATTAAGATCTACTTTCTTAGGGATATATGCACCAAGCACACTCTCAAGTTACAGGAGGCATGCAAGAGGACTGATGATAGAAGAGATCCTAAATAGTGGGTAAATGTTAGGTGATGTTAGTAATGTAATTTTGGGATAAAAGATAAATGCTAAAATGGACTGAACAATGCTGCGAGGTAGTGATCTTTTCTCAAGTGAACTCCTGAGCACTGTAATTTAATATACACCTTCTGATAGCAGCTGTGGGGACAGTGCACACTTTGTACTGAGTAGAACTTGTCAACACTAAAGCACAGATTGATTCAACTGGCAAACTTTACTAACAAAAATGAACTGACAGACAGGGACTGAACCCTCCCTGGACAGACAGGCACCACAAACCCCACAAGAGGCAGGCTGCCAAGCTTCTATCTCTGCCCTCTTACGTGTCTCCATTACTCACATAGAGATGAACTACATTTATAAGAGAATTGCACAACTTTTCTACAGATATCTGGTCTGTTAGAAACCCACAATATAAAGCACTTTTCCTGTGCATCTACTGTCCAACTTTTTCCTTTCCCTATATCACTTAGAAACATACTCTTTTCATTACTGCATCAGGAAAGCATGGCAAAGTCCTTTTTCAGGCAGTGAGCCTCTGTATGCATACAGCATAAAAGCATGAAAGAACCACATATTTCAGAGCACTTGCAATACTGCAACTCATTTACTCACAAGAGGATAAAAAACAATGTGAACTTACTTGTCAGTACTGGGGGCATGTACATCTACCTGCCATATACTGCTGACACGTTTGAGAAAATGAATTATATGTGAAATGAAACAATTTCAGGCTGATGAAACAATATGTAGGCTAATTAGCCTAATATAGGCTAATGTAGCCAATGAGAGGAGAAAGAGGAAAAATATTGGTCTGCTGTTATTACTTCGGGTACCCACATAAGCGGAATACAGCCTGACCTGTGAGTACTTGCAGTCACAAGGAAAGGCATTTGCTGATATCTGCTGATGGCCTGGAAGTTTAGTTACCCCAAACAGACCAGCTTTGTATAGCCTTATGTGCATTTTAGACTGAATCAAACTTCCAGTGGCTTGTGAAATGAAATGTACACCACATTTTATTGCTGTTCACTACAGCCTATCCCAGCTGTTTCCCTGGAATTCACATACTGAGCATTCACAAATTTGTCCCCTAAATAAGCCAAATACCAGCATCGTTTTATTAGCAGAGTTCAGGCTTTCTTTTTGTTACTAGGTCAATTTGACTACTACAGTTTATATAAAATTAAGACTAAAGCTCTTCAAACTCACTAGTCATTTTCAGTGTCTCTGAGTTTTAAGAGCAATATTTAGAAAGAACTGACCACACATCTTCCAAAAAAAAAAAAAAAAGGCTCCTTTAACGTGCCTCCTGCCTGCCTGCTTAGAACTGCTAATCATATTTTACTATATGACCCTTAAATGTCTAAGAAATGAATCACACTGAAAAGGAAGTTGATTATGTATGCCTTAATGCCAAGCTATAGGACCTGCAGCCTTCAGCTGTGTGATTACATTACTGACACCCCAGCTCCATGGCAATGCCCTAAGACAATCTACTGATCATTAAATTTAAATTCCTTACTGACATACAAATTTTAGAGTTAGAGGACTATTGTCTTTGCACTGTTCACATCAAAGGATTTAGGGACAGGACAGAATGTTCTTAAAAGTCTACTGAGATGAAGGGATGGTTGTCAAAACACATCCTTTTAAACGCTAGAGAAAAAAATGTGCAAAACTTGTTGGGAGCTGTTTTTTTTCCACTCTACCTCCTCTTCCCCCTACCTTCAACAAAAAAAAAATAACAACACACTTAGAAAACACAACAGACAGAAATAAAGTGTGATTAGGAACAGGAGCAGTTTTAATCAGAGAAAGAAAGAGTGGTGGGAGGGGAGAGAGCCTAGCAGAAGGGATTCTTGAGAGAAGATAAATGCAGAAGTCCCAAAGGAAAGGGAGAAAAAAGAAAGAGGAAAACAAAGTGCAGTCAAGGTAAGGGAACTGGAAAAAAAGAAACAAGGATAATAAAGCTCAACACTTCTCAAGGAGCTGCCCTTTCCTAGTGCATGGCATTTAGAGGTAGGTACCTGCACTGAGATCAGACACTTCTAAACAGGGGCAAGTCATGTGCTCCTGGCTGACCCGAATCAAAAGCTGCATGTTCTGACAGCCCTAACCCCAGTATAAAAGAAGCAGCCCTCCCAAAAGGAGGCAAAGCGAATTTCAAAAAATATTCAGTAGGTGTCATGAAACTGTGTATAAAATTGTTAAGCTACTAAGAATGCATGGTAAATAATATTACGTTATATATATGTTATATATAAAGCAATAAAAAAACTACATAACATCCTGTGTGTCACCTTTTTATTGTTTTCTTGATCAGAATCTTCAACAGCCTAAGGAAAAAAAATATATATATTACCCAAAGAAAGTGCAGAATGAAATACTCATAACTAAGGCAAAAAAAATCCTCAAAAAGTTAATGTATTTAGTAAAAAGTAAAACTCTTCCACTTTAAAATGTGGCTTATCTTTCAGAAAAATCTTGCAAAAAAGTTGCAGTGTTTTTCAAACACGGGCACACAAGATATGAAATTGAGCTACCGTCCAGCACTGGGAATAGGAGGGAAGATGCTAAATGGTTAAGTCCAAACTACTGCACTCACTAGATGTAGGGGACAGGAAGTTTCAGGGAAGAATGAGAGGATGATGATGAGATGATCCTCCCTGCGAGCATGGAGGATCATCTGGATACACAGGCTGTGCGGACTATGAAAACTTAAGGGTTAAGAGTCTTGCAAACTGTGCTTTAAACAACCATATTTGGAAAAGGCCTGTCTCAAGATATTACTTGCAATGGCTAAGTGAGTCTCTCTGCCTTCAATTTACGACCTGTCACTACTCAAAATCTCAGGTTGATAAATGAAGACTTGGCAATGAAGGGATCAAGATACCTAAAGAATAAGGATCAAGTCAGTAAAGAAGCAAAGAAATTACCCAATGGCATATGCTGAGGATGACTGACTAAGCTAAAGTTGGTAGTTCAAGAGCTGCTGTTTTAGCAAGCAAAACCAGCCCAAGAGCAAACAAGCTAAAGAGCAGTCCAGTGAGAGGATCCATAAAAGTCTAGAAGAACCAAGGATGCAGACTGAAAGACAACCCAAGCAGGTAGGCCTGATGTCTGTGGCACTGCTAGGGAGAGATGTGCTGCCAAGGGCAAGCTGTGCCATGGAAAAGATTTCCTTTATTGATACTTCCATCTGGAATAAGATCCAAAGCAGGGAAGAAGTGACCGCAAATGCTCAAATGACAGAGGAGTATGATCTGATAAGGTACCTCAGCACTTGATTTTTTTTTTAATTGGTAGCAAGCAGCTCTGATGTCTTCAGCCAGAGCAGGCTTAGTTTTGAATTCCAGTGTCCTGTATCTTAATTACTGTCAAGTGCTATTTAGTGCTAACCAGTAATACTCTGTTACTGAGCACAGACTGATAAACCGTACTGAATCCAGTACCAGTGGAATAAAAAGCACTCTCACCCTGTCTGCCAGCTGGCTCCCTGGTGTGGCCCCATTGCCCAAAGAGGGAATGGTCTGCCTGCTTTGCATGTTTTGCTACCCTAAGAATTAATGAATAAAGAATAACCCAGGGAATCCCTATAAAGAAGACACAGGATAAAGCTTTGCAAGGAAGCATTGTTGAGTGAGGAAACTGATACTCTACCCACATTAAAGCTCTGAAACAGTGATGCAAAGTAAAATATCAGAGACAGGATTGCAGGAAATTGTTAGCAGCCTTTAATTAGTATTTTTGGTGATAACTGCCACTTCTTGTGCACTGTCTTCCTACATAGCTATTATATTTCCTCAATAAATAATCCATCTAATCCACAAGCAGAGAGCTAGTTCGGGCTATAAAATTTTGTGTTCTCATTAATCTGAGGGTTAAGAATT